AAAGCCCTGTGGCAAGTTGGTGAGCCGTGGACATGGAGCCACACTCTCAGGGTCTGGTTTGCTGCGTAACCTTATGACCTTAAGGGACTTAGCCTCTCTGGGAGGTGGGGCAGTGTTGTCTGTGTCCTGGGGTCGGCTGTCACGATAACCGGATGGGTGTTTAGTATTTGGAAAAAGGCATGACACATGGTAAGCCTTACCTTGACTCATCGTCACCTCTGTGTTATCATTAGAGTGGCTGTTAAGTCCCTTCTGTGTCTGGCTTATAGTCAGTACTCGATAAGGTGGTGTCGCTGTCTCCATTTTACAGAACAAGAAACGGAGAATCAGAGTGGTGAAACAATTCTCTCTTTGTTCCACAGGTAGAACTGGCGCTCCCGAGTCTTCCAGTTACAAATGCAGTGCCTTCCTCCACTTCCCAGAGCCCCTCAAGAGTAACGGAAGCTCCACAAGCAAAGTGAACAGCATCTATATCGTCGCCTTTGCCAGCGTGTTGTATTTGGAGACCTGTTGTCCCTTGGTTTTCATAAGGTGATTATATCCTTGAATTTTTTGTTTTGGACAGGCAGAGTGGACAGAGAGAAAGGTCTTCCTTTTTCCGTTGGTTCACCCCCACAAAGGCCGCTGCGGCTGGTGCACTGCACTGATCTGAAGCCAGGAGCCAGGTGCTTCTCCTGGTCTCCCATGCGGGTGCAGGGCCCAAGGACTTGGGCCATCCTCCACTGCACTCCCGGGCCACAGCTGAGAGCTCGACTGGAAGAGCAGTGGCCGGGGCAGAACCTGGTGTGCCGGCACCGCAGGCACCGCAGGCGAAGGATTAGCCTAGTGAGCTGCGGCGCCGGCCTATATCCTTGATTTTTTATTTGTTAAAAATTTATTTATTTAAATGCAGAATTACAGGCAGAAAGGGAGAGGCAGAGAGAGAAAGAGGTCGATCAATTGTTTTTCCATCTGCTGGTTCGCTCCTAAAATGGCCACAATGGCTGGGGCTGGGCCAGGCCAAAGCCAGAAATAGAAACTTAATCTGATCTCCCACGTGGGTGTAGGAGCCCAAAGCCCATCTTCTGCTGCTTTTCCAGGCCATTAGCGGGGAGCTGTATTGTAAATGGAGCTGCCAGGACACAAACTAGTGCCCATACTGGATGCTGCCGTCTCAGGTGGTGACTACCTGCTGTCCTTAATTAGTAATCTTAATGGAAATGAGTGTGGTGCAGGATGCCTGTCATCCAGAAGTTAGTGTGTACTATAGTCATCTGTTACTAATCAGAGGTACTTTATTATAAAGTGCTGATGGTATTCAAGTATAAGAATTCTTGTTAATGCAGGAGGTAAGAGAAGTACATTTAGAAGAATATATGTACAATATGAATCCTTTTTTTAACTTAATATATTTGAAAGGAAGTGTGTGTGTGTGTGTGTGTGTGTGCGCGCGTGCATCTGGAGAGGTTGTATTCTGTCTGCTGGTTCACTCCCTAAATGGCTGCAGCACCTGGGATTGAGCCAGCCTAAAACCGGGAGCCAGGAAGAACATCTGGGCCTCTCTCATGGGTGGCAGGTGTCCCGGAACTTGAACTACCATCCATGGCCTTTCCAGGTGTATTAGCAGGAAGCTGGATCCACAGCAGACCGTCAGGGACACGCACTGACACTCAGACTTGGATGCAGGAGTCTAACCAGCCGTGCCACAGTGCTGGCCCAGTATTTTCCTCTGTGTTCTTCCTGTTGGCTGACATAAAGAGCATTTACCAGTGCTTTGCATTTCCAAGAAAGACTGCCTTAGTGGTTAGTACTACTCCAGGGAGATAGCTAAAACTATGACACCATGAGAAATGGAAAAGCTACACTTAGACTTGTGTTGAGTTGCTTTTGGTGACATTTATAAGCACTTTGATTTTTTTTAAAGATTTGTTTATTTATTTGAAAGAGTTACACAGAGAGAGGAGAAGCAGAGAGAAAGAGAGAGAGGGAGGTCTTCCATCCTCTGGTCCACTCCCCAGTTGGCTGCAACAGCCGGAGCTGCGCCAATCCAAAGCAGGAGCCAGGAGCTTCTTCTGGGTCTCCCATGAGAGTGCAGGGGCCCAAGCACTTGGGCCATCTTCCACTGCTTTCCCAGGCCACAGCAGAGAGCTGGATGGGAAGTGGAGCAGCCGGGTCTCGAACCAGCACCCATATGGGATGCTGGCACTTGAGGCCAGGGCGTTAACCCGCTGCGCCACAGCACCGGCCCTTGTAAGCACTTTGATTTTTAACACAGGTTAAGGATCCCTAATCTGAACTCTGAAATACTCTGAAATCTGAGCCTTATTTTATATGGAAATGGTGCTGCAAAAGTTTTGGATTTTTGATGTTTGGATTAGGGTCACTCAACAGGGAGTAGAGTCTTTGTAACTGTTCTGTGATCCCAAAAGCTCCAACATCAGACTCTTCTTATCCCAAGCATTTCTGATACGGGCGCTTCACCTGCAGGTCTTCTCCAGCGCCCGCCTTATTTCTGGCGGGGTTTCTGTGGGGAAGTAAGCTGGTCACAGCTCACAGCACACGTCTGGAGTTCCCTTTTCTATCTTGCTCAGAGTGTTGTCTGTTAGTCTAAAGACTTTTATCTAATCTCACTTCTTATTTTCATTTTTCTACTAAAATATGCAGGGGGAAAATCTAATAGTATCAGAGTACAGCAGTGTGATTTATTTATTTATTTTTTTAAAGATTTATTTTTATTTATTTGGAAGTCAGAGTTACACAGGGAGAGAAGGAGAGGCAGAGAGAGAGAGCGAGCGAGTGAGTGGTCTTCCATCCGATGGTTCACTCCCCAAATGGCTGCCACGGCCGGAGCTGCCCGATCTGAAGCCAGGAGCCAGGAGCTTCCTCCAGGTCTCCTACGTGGGTGCAGGTGTCCAAGGACGTGGGCCATCTTCTACTGCTTTCCCAGGCCATAGAAGAGAGCTCGATAGGAAGTGGAGCGGCCGGGACTCAAACCGGCACCCGTAGGATGCTGGTGCTGCAGGCCAGGGTGTTAACCCACTGCATCACAGCGCCAGCCCCATGTGTGATTTATTTTTTATGTTGGGTACAGCAAGGCAATCTATGACTAGTCACCTTGACTCTGTTAGTTTTTCTTTTCCATTGTTATATTCTTAAAAAGCAAGGTTTTTCCTAATGTTTAATTCTCTGATTCAGCAAATATTTACGATCTCTGTCCTGTGTAGGGTCCTGGATGTGAAGTAGTACCCAGGATGGGGGCGGGCCACACCTTTGTGGCCATGGCCTGGAAAGGAAACCAGGTTCCCTTTGCTGTCTTCTTGTTCCCTGTGGGTGGTGAGAGGTTGGGTGGAGTGTGGCCCACACTTCTTCCTGTGCAGTGAGACACCTGGAGTTGACATGTGCAGGCGGACAGCATTTCCTCCTGTCATGGAGCTCCTGTGCAGCAGGGCTGCCACACAAACGGTAGTATCCTCTTTGTAATTTTTTTAAATAAATAAGCTGGTCTTTTTATTTTATTTTTTAAAGATTTATTTTATTTATTTGAAAGAGTTACAGAGAAAGGTAGAGGCAGAGAGAGAGAGGTCCTCCATCCACTGATTCACTTCCCAATTGGCCGCAACGGCCGGAGCTGTGCTGATCTGAAGCCAGGAGCCAGGAGTTTCTTCCTGGTCTTTGATGCAGGTGCAGGGCCCAAGCACTTGGGCCTTCCTCCACTGCTTTCCTAGGCCACAGCAGAGAGCTGGACTGGAAGAGGAGCAGCCGGGACTAGAACCAGTGTCCATATGGGATGCCGGCACTGCAGGTGGAGGATTAACCTCATGTGCCTCGGCGCCAGATCCCCTTTTTGTGATTTTAATAAAAATTACTTGTAAGCAGGACTTACCCATAGTTACTCTTGACTATAGTGAATCTCAAGAAGACTTGGATTTAAATGTCATAGGATTTTTTAGTGAATCACCCAACTAGGGTGGTAAGCAGACCAGCCGCTTGATCTTTCTGAACCTCATTTTCCTCTTTACAAAAGGAGTTACTGCCTTAGGTTTGTGTTGGCCACATGCGGGTATGTGAGATACCGTGTCCTTGCTCTGTAGCAGATACAGGGTGCTGTCTTCATGGTTCGCAAAGCCCCTTCATCCTCTGCTCTTCCGTCCTAGTGGTCAGGCGTGGTTCAGAACACTGCTGTAGCTGTCGGTTCCGTCAGTCTCCTTGTGTTCTGGCCTGTAGGAATTTACACTGTTTGTATCTTAGCGTCCTTCTCTACTCTCAGGATCTTACACACTATGTGAGGATATTTGGGTATTGCAGTGAAGTTGTCGGTTGGCTGGAGGGGTGTGAGAAAAAGCCCCATCCAGTGGTTACTTGGGGTCAGGGGCTGGGCTCACCCCTTCTCCTGCTGTGTTGGTTCTCCTCCATCCCCCCCGCACTTGGAGGTCAGGGGCTGGGCTCACCCCTTCACCCCTTCTCCTGCTGTGTTGGCTCTCCTCCACCCCCCCCCCCGTCACTGCGGGGGTATCAGCCCCGCCCCCACTGCTCGTGCCCGTGCTGCCCCCCCCCGCCATCACCGCGAGGGCAGCAGCCCCGCCCCCACTGCTCGTGCCCGTGCTGCCCCCCCCCCGTCACCGCGAGGGCAGCAGCCCCGCCCCCACTGCTCGTGCCCGTGCTGCCCCCCCCCCGCCCATCACTGCGAGGGCAGCAGCCCGGCCCCCACTGCTCGTGCTCGTGTGCCCCCCCCCCCCCCGTCACCGCGAGGGCAGCAGCCCGGCCCCCACTGCTCGTGCCCGTGTTGGGGACCCGCCGTTACCACGAGGGCAGCCCCCGCCCCCACTGCTCGTGCCCCCCCCCCCCGTCACCGCGAGGGCAGCCCCGCCCCCGCTGCTCGTGCCCGTGTTGGGGACCCCCCCGTCACCGCGAGGGCAGCCCCGCCCCGCTGCTGGTGCCCGTGCCGGCCCCCCCCCCCCCCCCCCCGTCACCGCGAGGGCAGCCCCGCCCCGCTGCTGGTGCCCGTGCCGCTCTCTCCTTGCTAGAGCCTTGCGCTGCCGCTGCCGTCAGAAGTGCTCTCTGGGACGGCGCTTGGTGCGGCGCTGAGGTGGTGACCGTGCCTCGTCTTTACGGGGTGACGGTGCCGACTGCTGAGGGGCATGAAGAGGAGGGTCACTGGTTCGTGTGGCGTGCAGCAGGTGGCTCACTCCAAGGCAGACTGGGCGTGCAGCCTGCTAGGTCCTGGCTGACTGGACTCCCAGCCCTTCTCGGGGGCTGGCTGGGCTCTGCTCGCTCGCGTGCTGCCTCTAGCCAGTCCTTCGTGTCCAGTCCTTCGTGTCCTCTCTCCCTGGAGGTGGTAGAAACGGGGCAGCTTTTCCTGCGTTGCAGCAGACCTGTTGGATTGTTCCTTCTGATTCTTTGCTAGCCTGCTTGCTTGTCTTTCTCCAGCCCCTCTCCTCTCGCGTTGCCCGGGGTCAGAGTTCATGCTGGTGAACGATGTGTTTTCACTAGGAGGTGGAAGGGCTCACTTGAGCCCGGGAGACGGCGTCCCGGAGGGCGGCGTGATGGGAGTGAGGGGCATCGTCCTGGGGCACCACTTCTTGTTCTCTGCTGTTTTCAGATTTCGTAGATGGGGCCTCGCTCGTGTTCACAGTGCAGCACTCAGGGTTTGATTAGCTCATGGGGTTGCACTGCTGACCAGGTTATCCATGTGCTAGGAAAGCCGGAACTGTATAGACTTTCCGTAGAAATTGTGTGTGCTCAGAGAACAAAGGCACCGGCAGCCTCATTACTCACCTTCCGGCTAAAAGGGAATCGCAAGTAGCTAAACTTTCGAGATGACCCTGACTGTGAATTTGGATGGAGAAGTGAAGTAGCTTTTGTATTTAATAAGAATGTTGCTAGCACAGATTGTAACAGTATTTTTCTGTCCTACTTCTTCAGTTTGAGTTTATTACTCATTTATATTTTGGAGCTAAGAAAACAAATCGTGTATCTTGGATCTCTCAATATTCCCTAAGCTAATTTTGAAAGAATCTGCCTACCTCAAACTCCAATTTTTCTATTTTCTTAGTTTTGTTAATTTATAGTCTTCTGAAACTATCAGTCAGGAAAAAATATTTTACCTTCTGGCTATATGGATTCCTACAGACATCTTTTCAACAGTCTTATTTTTAATGTTGATCAGGTTTTTTATTTTCAAAATTCTTATTTCACCAAGGTAATTATTTTAACTTTAATTTCAAAATTAGGTTGGTAAAATGCCAAAGGCATGACTGATAGCGAAAGTGGTTTGACATGATCTGGGTCAGACTGAGTTCCAGCTTACCGAGTTCTCGAATTGGCTGTCAGGTCTGTAAACAGAAGTCTGTGGGGTGGACTGAACAGCGGTGGAGGCGGAGGTTAATGTATTCATAGGTTGCTGCGGGCTGCTTTCTCCTCCCTTTCCCTCCCTTCCTTCCCTCCCTGAATGGATCTAGGGACACGGACTCGTGGGGGCACGTTCCGGCTGCTTTCATTCTGCTCAGGACGGTCTGTGTTTCAGATTGCGGAAGCGTGAGAAGCCTGTAACTGAGAGGCTGGAGCACATTACAGGAGGAACACGTCCCAGATTGTGCTTCAGGCGCCGAGGAGAGGAGCACACAGGGCAGTTCAGTCTTGCTTGTGGATCGCAGCAGACTGCGCCTGAGAGATGACCCGGGACGCTGTGTGCGCACTCCTGGCTTGAGCTTTCTAGCGGTGGGTGTGTGGTGTTGGAGTGGCAGGCCACGAGGCTCTGAGACTGGCAGGTGCCGTCTGTATGGAGAAGAGCGGCTGTAGTCCATTTCCAATGTGTTGGGCTAAAGGTATATTTTACTTAAATTTCTACTTTGACACTGAAGAGGTGGATAAGAGTTTTTTTCAGAATTTGTTTCAAATATATTTACAGTTAGAAGGAAAATAGAAAACTGGTTGCAACGGTTTGTAACTATTGCATCAAGCCAATTAGTTGGCTTTTTCATAGTCAATAAAATACTTTTATGGAAATGCATTTTAAGTGACTTAAACTACTTTTATGCTCCACCTTATATCTGTAAAACATTTTTTTTTCTTAATTAAGACATACATCAATATCCATTCTATGATATGGAAGTTTTTAAAGAATCAACTGACGTTAACTTAAGTGGGACTGTAGGAAAAAAGTAATGTGGATTATTAAATAATTGAGTTTCCTTTACTCCATGTAAAGGTTGCATACTTAATTTGAAACTCCATATTGTGGTAAGATAATATTTATCTTTGAGAGCCAGGGACATGGTGAATAACTTTCCAGTTTAAAGTTGTTAGGTTTTTAGTAATAGAAAAATATAAAATACAGCATTTTCATTGTGACATTCAATGAAAAGACTATTTGGGAAACATCTAGTTAAAAATGCCATTAAAAGTATTTATTGTTGTTATTTAGAAGATACTTAAGTATCTTGTTAATATATTTATGAAGGGCTTTTTTAAAAGGAGGAATCTGAACTCAGTTAAAAAGCTGCAGTTTCAGAAGCGGAGGTGTGGACTGATTCAATTTAGTTTTTAGGTTAAAAATTTCAGTGCCACGAGGTTGTTGATATGTCGGCACCAAACTGCAGTTTCACCGTAAATTTGTTGCCATTGTCACTATCTATTCTTATTTTAGGCTCTTAAGCATAAAACATGAGAGCTAGTTTAGTTATATGATATCTCAACAAAATACCTGTCACTTTTTAGCATGTAGAGATTCAAAGATTCTGCTGAATTAACTTGAACCTCTTGAACTTGCAAGGGTTCTGGATACCTGCAGTGTTAAAAATGGCAGCTACTCCCTGTCCGTGCGTGCAGTGTGTGCTCGGAGGCAGAACTCTGTATCTGGGAAGTTGGTCCTCTCCCAGACCTGCCTGGGTTTGTTCGCACAGTGCCATCCCTGGTGATCTTTAAAAATAAACCCGTCCAGTTTCCCGCATGGTGTTGACTAGATTTGAGCTCTGCAAATCCAATAGCAGGGAGATATTAATAGGATACAGAATTTCATTTTATTCAGAGTGACTTTTAGAAATGTGAACTTTGGAAGTAAAGAAAAATTGTGGTGTTTTTACTCACTCCAAAGCAGTTGACCAATGCCAGCTTACTTTCCAATTATGTTTGCTGGTGGGCAGGGCAAATGAATTGGGCTATTTTTAATTGAAATCTAAATTATGGAGGAAGTCAACAAGAGAGCAGAGCACGTACACGTCAGAGATGGGCAGAGGTAGGGACAGCACGCAGGGTCGGGACTGGAGCCGGCCATCGCCCTGGGGGAGGGGCCTTGCTTTGAATGGTTCAGAGGAGGCCCTGACAACAACGGAAGGCAGTGCTGTGCTGTCCCCTTGTCGGGCTGAGCACACTGCTCCCACAGAGGTCCCCGTGCGCAGCCATCCTGGTGAGCTTCCTCTCTGCCTTCTCATGTTACTCTTTTGTACCAGGACAGGAAGGCAGGAAGCCTTGTGTTTTTATGTGTTTAATTTTTATCTACTTGATAAGGACAAAGATGTTGGTGTGTAGGAATCGGCTGAATGGGTTATTTTCAATTATAAAAGTTACAGCTTGTCAAGTAGGGCAGTGTTAAACGCTCAAGTCCAAAGAATATAGAAATCCCTTTCTGTTGTCTGACATTCTAAACTGCACATTTGATTTTATCAGTCACATTAACCTCAAAATTTTAACAGCAGTGTCCCAGTTTAAGAAGACATGAGAAATACCAGGGCAGGCTAAAAATAGTGAACAGATCTGTATTTGTGTTCCTTGAACTGAAATCTTGAGGGTATCCTTGACCTTCAGGCGCTGTGGGGTCCTTCCTATTGTACTGTTGTGTTTGGTGTGAAGAATCCAGCTTCGACCCCACCCAAGGAAAGGTTGTATTTGCAAGTATTTAAAAAGAACTTTGTTGTAACATGTATTCCACTGTATCATGATTTCCTAAACTCGGAGACAGTGTTCATTCAGATACTGAATTAAATGTAAAGACAGCACTCTGAAGTCACCAGGCTGTTGGGTATAGAAGGCCTTGCTCAGGGGGTTCCTTGAGAAAACCAGTATTTGAAAGGCTGGGGAGGATTAAAGAGACATCGGATTTTGTTGTTCAGCGTAATTGGTTGCCCCTCCCTCCCTCATTTCCTTCCTTCCATCCATCCAGAGAGCTCTCTGCACAGCCCATTCTTCTCTTCCGCTCAGTGGTCCGCTTTGGCTCTCCACATTTCATTGCTGATAGGTCTGATCCCTTACCAGAGAGAGACAGACTTGTTAATTGCTGCCCTGAGTCTTCTCCTGCCCAACACGTTGACCCTCCTCATCAATCAGTTTTTCGTGTCACAGCCTTTTTGACACTTTTTTCCATGTACAATGACTCCATTTTATTCTGATGAGTCGGCCTCCAGTATGTCTCATGAATTTCTCAGCTTCCCTCCCTCCCTGAATGTCAGCTGTAGTCCCTGTCGCCCACTTCACCTCCTGAGCCGTGGGGGTCAGCCCCCTGCCTAGGGACCCCAGCTATGCTGTTCTCCACCTAGAAGATCTCTTCGGAAACAACATGGACAGTGACGTTACGAGAACAGCTATGCCTGTCCTCCAGAGGTTCTTTTCACCAAACAATCTTAGCTTTTAATTCCATTTTTCACAAACATTTTGAGGTACTCTGGTATCTGCCAGGGTGATTTTGTAATAAAACAAATCTGACGTACCTTCCTGCTTAAAACTCGGTGGTGTCTCCCCCGTCGCGTGGCCTACGAGAGACCGGCCTGCCCCACTCTCCCCCGTCCCCTCCCCCTCGAGCCTCCTGCTTGTTCATGGTCATTGTGGTTCTGCTTACTCGGAGCAACCAGCAGCCTTCCTCTCGGGCCTTTTGCACCTCCTGCTGTTGCCTCTTCTGGAGTCATTTTCTCTGCTTCCGCTGCCTAGTAGATCTTAGCTTGAATGAACTCACCTTTTTTTTTTTTTTTTTTTTTTTTTTTTTTTTTTTTTTTTTTTAAAGTCCTTAGCAGTTGCGTTTTAAGCACAATTTTGCTTGACATTCAGATAAAAGGTAGGGACAACCACCCCCCCCCCCTTTTTAAAAAGATTTATTTATTTATTTGAAAGGCAGAGTTACAGAGGGGTCCTCTATCCGCCGGTTCATTCCCCAGATGGCTGCAGTGGCTGCGGCTGCACTGATCCGAAGCCAGGAGCCAGGAGTTCTTCTGGGTCTCCCATGTGGGTGCAGGGGCCCAAGGGCCATCTTCCACTGCTCTCCTAGGCCACAGCAGAGAGCTGGATCGGAAGTGGAGCAGCCGGGACTCAAACCGGCACCCATATGGGATGCTGGCACTGCAGACAGCAGCTTTACCTGCTACGCCACAGCGCCAGCTCCTAGAATTAGCTTTATTTTTAAAGACTCAGCTAAAATTCTGTGATGAATGTACATACTGTTTTATAGGCAAATCTAGTTTTAGAATCATTGAATTGTCAGGGGGGAAAAGTCTATGTCAACAACCTGTGGCCCTTCTAATTTCTTTGTTTTCCTCTTAGAGAAGCGTGTGTGAGCAGTTCAGTGTAGCACTCTGCCCGTGGAGTGTGGCTGTAAGCAATGGTCATTTGTGGTCATTTATGGTGTTGCTTTGGTCTGCGCTATGCTAATTTTACACACTTGTGTGCATATTTCACGTTTGCGTTGTTTCTCTGTGCCTTATTTCAAATATCGGATTTTAAAGAAGAGTAACAGCTGGTGCTTCCCCAGCACGTACTTACTCTGCGCGGTGTGCTGTTCCGAGCATTCACACAGAGCTCTGGGGTGCGGACCTGGGAGGCAGCAGTGATGCCTCAAGTAGTCAGGTTCCTGCTCTGTGCGTGGGAGACTGAATGGTACTCAGCCTGCAGCTTGAGCCCAGACCACCCTGGCCTCTGAAGGCATCTTGGGAGTGAACCAGTGGAGAGGTGCGCTCGTGTTCGCTCGCTCTCTCTCTCTCTCTCTCTCTCTCAGGAGTGAACCAGTGTACAAGTGCACACACTCTCTCTCTTTGGGGAGTGAACCAGTGGACAGGTGCTCCCTCTCCCCTCCCCCCCCCACCCCCAATCTCTCTGTCTCCTCTCCAATAAAAAAGAAAAAAAGTCATTGGTCATTGAGTATACTTAAACATTGAACTATTGCAATCAGACTATAACGGCATTTCCCAAATGAAATTGTGTTTCTGGGGTAGACTTGCCCTGGCAGTTAAGCCAGCAGCGGTTAGGACCGCCCCGCGCCCCCCCCCCCCCCCCCCATCCCATATGAGAGTGCCCGAGTGTGAGATCTGGCTCTACCTTGTGATTCCAGCTTCCCGCCAATGCAGGCTTTGGGAAGCAGCTGTGATGGTTCAGGTGACTGGGGGCTGCCGCCCACGTGAAAGACCTGGATGAGTTCCTGGCGCCTGGCTTCAACCCCGTGAACACACCTGGGGAGTCAATTCAGTAGGCAGGAGTGCTTTCTCCTTCTGTCTCTCTGTCTCTCTGTCTCTGCCCCTCCCTGTCTGCCAAGTTCAAAAACACCTTTTTTTGGGGGGGGGGGGGATCTCTGGAAATCAGGCACTGATCTGTTTTACAAGGGAAAAATTACATATTTCAGCTGAAAACTTAAGCTACTTTTCCAAAACCAATTCAGAAACCAAATGGAAAGTATTTCTAAGCAAAATCTCAGCTATAATTTGAAAACTCTAAAGCCTTGTTTCTGATCCTCAAGCAGCATGGATCACAGGTCTGTGTCTGGGAAAGGTGCATGCTGCTCACTAGAGCCCACGTGTGTCTAAAGTGACCAGCGTCACACTGCCGGGGAAGCTGTGGTCAACAGGCGGCT